TTCGACGGCTTGAGCTTCAAGTTCGCGTTCCGGAACCGCAGGAATACCTGACGTAATCGGTCAATGTGTTCCTCGAATGATCGGCTGAAGACAATGACGTCATCCAGGTAGATGAGGCACGTTTCCCATTGGAGGCCTGCTAAGGCCAACTCCATTATGCGTTGGAACGTCGCCGGCGCAGTCTGGAGGCCCATAGGCAGGCAGTTGAACTCGAACAGGCCCTGTGGTGTCCGGAACGCTGTTTTAGGCCGGGAGTCCGCGTCTAGTGGGACCTGCCAGAACCCGGACAATAAATCCAGCGTACTGAAAAATTTTGCTCCCGCCAGTGCATCCAACGAGTCGTCAATACGTGGTAGGGGATATGCGTCGGCTAGCGTGACGGCATTGAGGCGTCGGAAGTCCACACAGAATCTCAGTGACCCGTCTGACTTCTTGACTAGGACCACCGGTGCCCCCCAGGGACTCGAGGATGGAGAAATTATGTCGGCCCGCAGCATCTCCTGCACCGCTTGTTGAATGTGCCCTTTTTCCATTGGGCTCATTCTATATGTGTTTTGGCGCAGGGGTGCGGCATCTCCCGTGTTAATGTGGTGCTGCGACAGATTTGTGCGCCCTAGGTCGAACGGTCCCCGGCTGAACACGTCCGAGAACTCATGCAATAACGAGTGCAGCTGCTGTATCTGGTCGGGCGGCAATCCCGGCTCAGGCCCCGCCAGCTGGTCCATCCATGATTCGGCCCCTCTGTCCTCGGACTGGCTGATGCTGCCTACAAGCTCGGGCTTTGTCCCTGGGGCTCCTAGTGACAAGGGACTAACGTGGGCCAGAACTGTTCCCTCCTGCACCGTCGCTGTTCTATCGGAGGTGTTCAGCACCTGAATGAACAGATGCTGGTTCCTCTGTACAATAGTTTCGGCTCCCACCAGCGCATGGCGATCCATGGCAGCTGACGCCGGAGACACCAGGATGGGTGAGTCTGGTCGGGCTGTCACGAGGGGAGACCGATATTGCAGCGGAATCAGCATCTGGGCTGCCGGGGGAATGGAGACAGACTTACTGACCAGAGCCTGCACGTAGGGTACACCCCGGCTGGCCCCCTCCGCCTTTAGGAAATGGAGATGCGTTCCCTGGACTTCCACCCGCCCATTGGCCAGATCGATTTTCATTGGCATCCGCCTCAGAAAGTCCGTCCCCAACAGGCAGGGTACGGGCAACGTTGCGGAGACAAGGATGGGTCCTGCTACCGAGAGCTGCCCAATCTGTATCGGGGCTTCAACCTGGCCCAGGAAGCCCATGCTGCCTCCATTTGCTGCAATGAACGTTGTCTTGACAGGGACTAAAGGTCGGATTTTATCCGGCAGCATCTCGTGCATGGTGCTCGAGATGATCGTGGCTGATGCCCCCGTATCCACCAAGATACGTGCCGACACTCCCGCGATTTCACCGACCAGGACCGAGGTTCCCGACGTGGCCGCTACCACCCGCCTTGCCAGCTTCCTCCATTGTGTGGCTGAGTCCGGCCACTGACCAGGCGGCGTCTCGTTATCCTGTGGTGCATGGTGAAATGATGGGGGATGGATGTGAATGGACTGAAGATGGGGTTCCTCCCTTTGGAGTGCGTCGCAGCAGGGTGAGCGCGCCCTTGTTACATAGTGTGGGCTTACCCCTGGGTTGAGGGCTGTGCTCTCTATGTGGTGCAATTTGCCCCCCCTTGGTGATGTAGGGTGGGCCCCCCTTGTGGTGTGGGGGGCCCCCCCCATTGTAGGGGGCAGTGGGGACTGGGGGGTGGGCCTTCCCGTGAGCCCCTCCCTTCTCCCCTCCCTTCCCTTTGTCACGGGGGCGTGGTCCCCCTGGTTCCGTCTCGCTCTGCCGCAAAGCGGTGGTGAGGCGGCCCGTGGAACTGCTCCAGGGCGCACTGTCAATCTTGTGGGCTGCCTCCGCCCCCGGGCCGTTGCCCCTGGCAACTCGCCGGCGTCGCAGGCAACTGGTGACGTCACGCCCGCCGGCGACGTCACGCCCGCCCGCGACGTCACGCCCGCCCGCGACGTCACGCCCGCCGGCGAAACCACGCCCGCCCGCGACGTCACCTCCGCCCGCGACGTCACCTCCGCCCGCGACGTCACGTCCGCCCGCGACGTCACGTCCGCCCGCGACGTCACCTCCGCCCGCGACGTCACCTCCGCCCGCGACGTCACCTCCGCCCGCGACGTCCCTCCCGGCCTCGGCGCGACTCCCGACGCGGTCTCCGGCCCCGGCGCGACTCCCGACGCGGTCTCCGGCCTCGGCGCGATCCCCGACGTGGTCCACGGCCCCGGCGCAATTCCCGGCGCGATCCGCGACACCACTCCTGGCCGCGACGTCACTCCCGGATGCAACGTCACGTCCGTTCGCGACGCCACTCCGGGTCGCGACGCCACCCCTGGTCGCGACGCAATCCCAGGCCCCGGCGCTATCCCCGGCGCGATCCCCTTCCCCCGACCCGGACAATGGGGACCGGGGAACGACACCGACGGCGCCCACCCCGAGGAGACTCCCGGTAAGTTCGCGGCGTCGGAATTATAATTGCTCGGCCCGACCGAGAGGCCGGGCGGGACGGCGTCACTCGCCTGGATCCTGTCGGCGTTCGGCCCCGGCGGGTTCCAGGTGACGTTGGCGGCCTCCGGCTCTGTGCGGCACCCCCTCGCCACATGCCCCTCTCGACCACAACGGTGGCAGACCCACGGGGCGTTCCGTCGGGGGGGCTCGGCGCGATGTTGTAGAGGCGGCTGCCAGCGACGCGGCGGTTGGTCGCGCCCCTGGTCCCTCTGCTCCGCCAGTCCCCGGATCGCCGCGTACACCTCCCGTAGCGATGGCTCCGTCTCAGACGTCGGGGGTCCGTCCCCAGCTGCTCCACAGGCAGCCTGTGGCGACGGTGCAGGTTCGGCGGTTGGTGTCGCTGGACCCAGTAGCGCCGCGGCAACGGCTCGGCTGTTCCCCCCCGCCGCGCCAGCTACCGGGCCCACGGGTGGCGCCCGGCCCATGACCTGCTCGTGGGCTTGGATGGTCCGGGCAGCCCACAGCGAGGTGCGTTCCCCCGGCGTCACCACGGGCATTACAACGCCGGCGCGGCAAGCGTAGGCGATGAGGTGCTCGACCACGAGATCCTCGAGCGCTTCTTCAGCCAGGCGAGGGAAAGCTCTCCTCGCCAACACGAGCAGTGCACCCCTGTAGGATAAAGGGGATTCTTTAGCCCCTCGCTGGCGATCCTGGAACCGTTTAAAGGCTCCTTCCGCCGGGCAATAGATCTCCCCCAAAGCCTCGTAGGCCGCCTGTAGCGTGGTCTTGCTGTGCGAGGGAAGGGAGGTGTAAGAGGCGAGTGCTTCCTTGCCCAGAACTGGATGGCAGCGCTCGTAGTGCCTCTTCGTCTGTCCACTCGAGAGCGTGGAAGGCAGCCTCGAATCGGCGGACAAACTCCTCCCAGTCTTCTTCCTCAGCCACGAACTTGTCGACGGGCCCCAGCCGACGCGGCCGTCCGGCCACCTGCTCTCCGTGTTGGGTGGTTAGCCCTGGGGGTTTTGGCGGGACCGGCGGCGGCTGGCGTGACGAGGTTGGTTGCCCGGCCGGCTGGTCGGCCTCCGGGTCCCGTGGCCTCTCCTCCCGTAGTACGCGTGGGGGTGGGGGTCCCGGTGCTGGCGGGTCCCCCATAGGGAGCCTCTGTAGGAGCTCCTGGAGTGCCCTCTCCACGCGGGCCATGCGGTCCTCCATGGGGTCCTCCAGGCGATCCGGGCCCCCTGCTGCTGCTTCTGATAGCAGGCCCCCTTGTTGCCCGGGATGGGAAGGATCCCCGGCCCCTGCTTCCTCCTCCCTTGGCTCTTTCCCGCGGGGATTTTTCTTTGTAGCCATGAGATCCCACCGCTGCCACCAGATGTAAAGTAGGAGCCGACACCAGATTGCAGGGGTCTCGTCCTTTATTCCTTTCCTTCCATCCACACCTGTCCCCCAGCCGTCCCAATCTCGTTCCCGCCAAAGGCCCCTTCTTCCCGCCCGTTCTCTCCTTATATCTCTTCGATCACCCCTCCCACTAACCCATCTATTGGTGGGAATCCTTCCCCTGACACCCCTACATCTGCAAGCATTAATGCATCCAGCCGGTCCGTGTGTTTGTCTAAACAGAAGGTAACGACGACGATCATGAGCATGCTTGAATAAGAACGAAGCTTTAGTGTAAGCTTCTGTTAACTTACAAAAGCAGTGCTAAAATATTCACATGCCAGTACTAAAACGATTCACAAAACCAGGCCAAAAATTATTCACAAAACCAATGCTAAAAGCACGCAACTACCTCCCTTCCCCCCAATGACGTTATATCGTGATGTCATACATCGTGCATCGCGGTGACGTCACCTTGAACCGTGACGTGACGATTACCAAATCATTTTTGAGGACGAACGCGCGTTGGAGAACGTTCCAGAATACGGCCACGTGCGTGGCTTCTGTATTCCTTGCGTATTGCTCACATGCTTCAGTGTCCATGTGTGTTCATTGCAGATGTCTTAATTACTTTTAAATTACAGTTTGTGGGGAATAACAGCCATTTTCTATACTTTTTAAGCATAAGCAATTATAAAATAACACTACAGTACAAAAATCGTGTTAATAATATTATTTATCGTGTTACTCTTTCTCCACAATGACGCAAAGAATGAGTTTGTGTTGTGTGTTACTGTATAGCGTTGTGTTGAAGTAGGACCCATACCTAACACGGAGGATCCCTGCCTATAAACGTCTGGTAGTTCGCCAGCAAACCTAACTGCTGATGAGACACTAAATGTGGAAACCGATCTCGAGTTTTGCTTGTGTTGCTAAAATTATGCACTTTCAGAAGGGCCCTGTGGCTGATGGGATGTGTAAAAGAATACTTTATTTAGTTTTTGTATGTGGATGGACAGGACATAGGAAGGAAGGCGAATTGTCTGAAAATGAATCTTGTTGCTAAATGCGTAATTCCGTTGATTTCTCGCCAGGTGTCTCCCTTACAAAGTCACAAAGGTTTACGGCAAAGGACCGGAGCTTTGTTGGAGTGGACGTCGATGGTGCTACCCTGGGCATCTTGGGCATGGGCCGCGTTGGCCGTTTGGTGGCGGAGAGGGCCCGCGGTTTCCGCATGGACATCCTGTACCACAACCGCACAAGGAGGTACGGCCTAAGCGGTTAACCGGAGTTCATTTATCCAGCATCGTTTCAATCATGATCATAGTTTAATACGTAGTAGTCGTAGGCGTTCACGACCAATGTTATCCATAAAAGTAGTTTTTTTTGGGTTAGATCGCGTAAATATAAATGTGTCGTTAAACCTGCCACCACCCGACACAGCCATTTCGTAAGGTTTGTCGTGTAAAGAGAACGTGCAAATTCGTTACTAGTTCAGCACACCGGCGTGTTGGAGAGTAAACCCACAACATTTACGATTCGAGTACCGCCGTGACGTTTTGCTGGTGATTATTAGTAGTCTTAGTCGGAGATGGCCTGTGGGATTTACTGTCCAGGTTTGGTCTGTGGATTTCATTGAGTTGCGACTAAAGTAGGCAAATATTTAGTCAGACACTCTTAGTTATTCAATGTTGGCGTGAGGGGTGCACAATTCCCTATGCCCCCACCTCCCCACCACCCTCCATCCCCAATATTATCAGGTCCACCAGGCAGTCAACTTGGTAATCTTGTTTTCTTCTTCTGACAAAATCTGACAATGCCAAGTCTAGTTCGGCGATCCGCTCAGTGGCTTCCTGAGATGCTGAGTGGAGAAACAGGAAGCGCCTCTCGCAACAGATGTCAGTGCTGGGCAGCTCGATGCGATGGCTTCCACGGTCCGGGACTCGCGGCCACAGTCGCTCTTGGGAGTTACAACCCTCGTCCTGCACTCGTGAAGCAAAGTGGCCACCGCTTCATTAACCCCCCTCCCCCCGTGTCCTGTTGTGTGAAGTCGGTCGATTGCCGTCCGCTGACTTCGAGGCAGGTCGAAGGCAGGGACCTCTGCTGATGGGTCATTGATGAGGTGTCGGTTCTCTATGTTGCATGTGGTGTCCCACGATTCTGTCCACCTGGATAATGGGTGGATAATGACACAAACACATTGTGAAAGAACAAACGCAGAAGATCCCTGGTATTGATCTTCCACGAAGCTCATGGTCCACCCTAAACCGCATCTGCATAAAACTTGGCAGATGCAGATACCTGATGCATGAATTAGAAACTCTCCGGTGTGCGACTGTGGTCATCCAGAACAGACCATGCAACGAATAATGACGCAATGCTCGATTCACAAATACGAAAGAGATCTGCTCCTGACGCGGTTATCTAGACTTGACCACCTGAAAATGAAATTGTAGTTGCTCTGCATCTACATCAGCCATACGAAAGATGAAGAATCCAAGTCAGACTCATTTGGAAACAGATTCCAACCACGAAACTACCCAACCATTATACAGACTTTTGTTCTGTGTCTCAATGTATGAATGATATATTTAAGTAATTGGGCTATTGGCTTTCCAGACCAATATTATCCAGCAGCATTTGTTAGCGACCTACTGGAAAACCAACTGGCCGATAACTAAAACACGTGCTACCACCTGATTGGGGAATTGTAGTTGTTGCTCTGCACCGATATCAGCAGCCATACGAAATAAGAAAAATAAGAAGCTGATGATGATGGGTGGGTGCTAGCTGTCGTGGTTATTGGCTGCCGTTTCCCAGGATGTCCGGCGTGATCGTGAGCGCGTTCGCGGGTTGGAGTTGTTCTGACCACCGTGGATCATCGCTTCCCCCTCTGCTGTGAACCTTGTGCGGTGTTCTTCCCTACCTCGTTTGCGGTGTTCCACGACTATGACCACCTGGACAATGGGTCGATTATAAAGCGTGGAGAGCTGAATTGAGTGCCAAAGGGAATTCACAAACAAAACACCTTGTGGCACGCTGGCGCCGCAGTGACATGGCCGGCGGGATGACGTGGCACAGCACCAGGAATTACTCCGTTGGGGTGGACTTCAACGTCCTTGACTCCATCCTCATGGCGGTGTTCAGCTGCACTTCTAGGATCTCTGTGTGGCGGTTGCTGGGCCGTGAGGCGGAGCAGGTGGTCTGCAGCAGAGTGGACAGGGCCACTGTTCTGACTGTGCCCCCCCCACACCCCCGATGACGTTCCAGCGAGTTTGTGGATGAGGTTCGCCTCCTAGTTGTTACTTTGTGGCCGAGTGCTGGTGAGATGTGGGCCGATCGGTGAGAGTTCTATTCAGGGTGACGCCCAGGGGTTTTGGGTGGGATTTGTGGTTCAGACGCCTTTCTGCGAGAGCGGTGTAGCTCTCAAACTTGTTTGGCATTCCGCACCACTCAGGTAATGCAAACAGAATCAGAATATTTATACTGGAGGAATCCTATGAGCTATAAATCTCTTTTACACATTTCTGCGGACCATCCAGCCCCACACCCCTGGTGACAATACGCATTCCCTTCTCTCTCTAAATACCAGCAATAAAAAATAATTATTACCGGAACATAATAAAAAATATTTTACACGCAGCTATGATGATTTTTTTAGGGGAAGGCTTATGGTAGTCTAATCGGGGTAATTTACCTAACTTAATTTTTTTAATGAATATATGTAAAATATAAATTAATGCCTGAAACAAAAATATTTTTTCTGGATCAACCTGCATTTGCATCACAGTCCCGTTGAACACCTGCAGGAGCGTCACGGTCTTGATGCTTGGATGGAAGTCTACTGTGGATTAGGGCGCAGGCGCCAGGTCTCGGGGTAGCATTCCAGCAGGTAAATCTTGTTGTCTACTGGACACACGTAACCAATTAACACGTTTGGTCTGCCTCAGTACACGGCAGTCTCGAGTAACGTTACGAAATTGTCCCAGCCTGCATAAAAAAAAACTAGTCTTTTTATTTTAACTGGTAGGTACTACTGAGGTATACATCTCATTTTCAGAAGCGACCTGGCCACAAATGATAGCTCAATGAAGTCGCTTATCACATGGAAATCTATAGCAGCCATATTTTTAAACGTGGCAGGAAAAACCCGAGGGCCCAGTACTCCAACAGTCCTGATACTCTGTTACAACCTAGGTACACAGCCTAGCTACACAGCCTAGATACTCTACTCTGGCTACGCTCTGGAACTCGCCCTCACAAGGTCGTAGAGTCGGGAGTTCCAGAGTCTCACCACTGGCTCTCACAGCATCACAGGGTCTTCAGATGGCTGGTCGTGGGTCTTGGGTCTTGAGTTACAACTGGGCCCCGATCGTCCAGGGAGCTCTCCTTTTATGCCTGGTCCAACGAGGGGTGGGGCCGTGTGCGCCACCAGACATTCCACAGAGCACACACAGCCCCCCCCCCCCCCCCCGTTGGCGGCGCCCAGAGGCTTAAGCGTCTGGACCCCTGGGAACCCAACACCTGGCGCCCAGAGGCTTAAGCGTCTGGTCCCCCTGGGAACCCAGCGCCTGGCGCCCTGGGGATTAAGCGCCTGGCCTGCCCAGGGACCCAGAGCCCCCAGCAGCCCCTCCCTTCTTATGTCACTACATTTGTATATCTGGATGGCTTCATGAACAAATCTCTGATGGTGGCCCGAGGATTTGCAGAGCACCTTGGTCTCGGACAAAACAATGTCACGTGTGCCCACAGCATTGAAACAATGATCCGCCACCGCCGAGGAGTTGGTTCTGCCGTGTTTGAAATCTGCTTTGTGTTCGCGAACCCGGTCTGAGACACATCGCTTCGTTTCACCAATGTAACTGCTGCCGCAGACACAACTCCACTTATAGACACCAGGACATTGCATTTCTAACTCCTACAGCCAAACTCCTTCCCCCCCCTTCCCTCCCCCCTCCCGTGCCTATATAAAGCCACAACAGCAGATATGATTTTTTCTCACCTGAAGACGGACACTTGTGTTGCGACCGAAACGTCGTGGTTTTTTTCTACCTACGTGACTTTACCGAAAGAACCGGGGAGTATGTTTTGTTTCTCCCTTGTGATGGGACTTTGTAGGATGAACGTTGAGATTTATAAGGGTACGGGGTGACCAATAAGGCCTGAATTGGTCTGTAATAAGGTAAGGCACTGATAAGGGCTTGACAGGTATGCTAATGTTGAAAGGGGCAGGGCGTCATTGTATGCGTGGATCGTTGATATTTTTCAGATCATTGGACGAGGAGACAGGCCTGGGCGCCGTCTACTGCCAGAAGCTTGAGGAGCTCCTGGAGAAGTGTGACTTCCTCATGGTCACAGTCACCCTGAACGCAGAGTCCATCAAAATGATCGGGAGGAGAGAACTCAAGTTAATGAAGACCAATGCTACCATCATCAATGTCGCCAGAGGTATTTAAAGCTGTCATATGATCGCACATTCTTCATGATGTGTGTAATTTCATGATCCTCGCCCGTTCATGCTGTTGTGCTTTTTATGAATCCCCACATGATATCTCAACGTAATGCTGATGGTCAGGCAAAGTGATAGACCAAGAGGCTCTGGTGGAGGCCCTGCAGAACAAGTGGATCAGAGCAGCAGCTTTGGATGTCACTGACCCCGAGCCACTACCCAGGTAACACTGCACAAATTTCACAGCAGTTACCCAACACCTACCTCTTCACTACTCTTCTTCCTTGAATTTCTTATGTGGTCTCTCCACACCACTTTGTCCACTCACGCCAATGCCAGTCCATCATCTCCACGTCCACTCCACAGTCCTTGCACGTCCTGGTTCACCACCTGGAACCACCTCTCTCTAGGTCCTGCCTCAGTCTCTGCCCCGATGCTTCCATGTTCTTCACCATGTGGTTTTCCTCTCTGAATACAACACGTTCCCACCTTGCCTTTTGAGTCGACTCTCAGCTTCTCTGAGGCTGGTGAATCTTCACTAATAACACTACGTTAGAGCCATTACACGAAACAGACATAACAAAATATAGATTAGGCATGATCGCCATCGTAAGTATTACAAACTCTTAGTTATATCCATGTCGATGGCATATTACCATCATAGCACTGTGCTACTGACTCACAAAATACTGTAACGCCAAAGCGTGATGGGGAGTGAAGCGCTGGTGGTTAACATACTGAGCTGTGAACCCAACGAGCCGAGTTCGACTCAAGGCCACATATAATATCATTGGTGACAGATATCTTAGATTATATGGTTCTTTCGGTAAAGTCACGTAGATAGAAAAAGAATAACAATAAAATAATAATACAATTAAATGAAGTGCATAAATGTTTTGTTTTTATATATATACATTTTTATTCACTTTATTTTCATTTTATTATTATTTTTCTATCTACGCGACTTTACCGAAAGAACCATAGAATATGAATTCCTGCAATCACGAAAGTTTTAAGTCAAATATATCTCAGAATCAGAATCTTTATTTAGACTGCAGGAGGAATCCAATGAGCTATGAAGCGTCTCTTTTACAGATGTCTGGTATGGGTGGGTCAGCAAGTTAACAATAGCAAACAATACGGCAATATATCTGAACCAATCCTGCCCCTCACAACAACAACAACCGCCATTCGCCACTAAGTGGCGGTGATGTCACCACGATGCTTGTGCCAGGCTATGTGCACCTTGAGGCCACGTGAAGTGTCGAACGCCCGCTGGCAGGAGGTCATGGGGCGGACCCAGCAGGTGCCACGGGTCGACTGAGATGACTGGCCCCTCCCAACCCCGACCCCTTCACCAACCTGTACTTATCAATGTGGTGAAGTATGGTCAGACAGGGATATGTATCAAACGCGATTGCAAGTGCATCGACAGCACGGCACCGACTTTAGATTCAGATGCAATAAGGCCATTCCCATCAGACACTATTTTCTTTATGCACCGATTTACTTTGCTGCCCCGCGTTGAGCGACGAGTTATGAGCACGGACCCCCTGCGAGGTGCTCTCGTGCCAAACGGCACCAGCGAGGTCCTCTGTTGCTGACGTCCCCTCCCAAGGGACCATCCCCTGCTGCAGCTCCCCAACGTCATCGTCACCCCCCACCTGGGCGTCGACACGGAGGGGGCGAGACGCGCCATCGTCGAGGCGGTGGTTGAGAACGCACTGGCGGGCGTGCAGGACCGGGCCATCCCCTGCGAGCTCTCCCCTCGTCGCGCCTGAGACGCGCGCCTCTTCATCGTCAGCGGAAGCCGGCGGCCGCGTGCGTGGTGGCGCGCGCCGCAATGGGGGATTTCGTATCAGGAGGTAAAGGTGCAGCCCCGGCAATTGCTGGCTCACGCCACCATTAGCGAAAGGGCCTCTACTAAAGGGAGCTCAAAAGGGCGTATTTCTGGCCTACTCTTCCACGCTGGTCAGACGTCATGCAGGAGGTGGGAGTTACCCACACTTTACCCCACCACACGAAACATTTCCGAATTATGTTAAATTTGAAAAGTGTTGTTAAGTCCAGGGATTAACTTCAGTCGGGTCTGTTCCGGTCGACGAACCCAGAAAACACTTCTACAATCGGCACACCACATAGAGTATATATCTCACTGCGGGGCTTTGGCTACTCGTCTTGTGCCACCTCCTGGTCTACCAGCGATCCAGACGATATTCAGTGAGAAATGAAGCTCTAGTTAAGTATATTTCATAAGAGGCAGCGGGTGTTGCTGATGATTTGGCACATGCACATTGCACAAAGTGTTTATTGTAATCGCCGGCTGAACGTTGCTCTGCACAGAGATCGACTCCACTTTTGCTGGCACTGACTTTTAATAATTTGCTCTGCGCGGTCAATTATTTCATGATGTTTTATTTGTCTAATGCTACCCAATTGTTCAGAACTGTTACACTTAATAACGATTGCCTTTGATTCAACTCACCATTAATTGTTTACAACTGATATGTAAAAGAGTAGAATTATTTAAATGGGACGGCGTGTTACAAAAACATAAACTCATAATCTTTAATTCAAAAAGTTATTTGATAAAGCGGAACTGTGTGCACAATAAAACATCGGGTAAATTGCAAACGCTGTTGGCACTTGACTGCAAATTAACAACACAATCTGATTGACGCAGACGAAAGGGAGAGAAAATGTTGAACACTGCCCTACTGGATCACGGTATTGTTTACCAAAGGTATAAACATGCCGATGTGACATCTGAATAAAAACAATGAGCATACGTTTTAACTTTGAAACTTCAAAGTTAAGACGCAGCACCGTGGTATATCACTGCTGGATGAAGGCCTCACCCAAACCGTGTCCATCACGGGGATTGTTTGGCCATACTTTACCACGCTGGGTCACAGCCGGTTGGTGAATAGTGCGGGACCAAGACCGTTTGGGGTTGCCACCCGGCGTTAACGTTATCCGTGGCCGGGAATGTAAACCAGGCGGCCGAGTTCGTAGTTCGCTAACGAGTGCGCCACCGCTCCACCCTCTATGAAAACAGCCACAGCCAAAATAGAAACGGGTTTCTATGTCCGGCTAATCCGACTTTTCAACCTCACAATCCAAAACCTCCCAGCAACCTCAGCCGCCACAGAAACAAACCTCAGCTCACACCACAATTCAATCGCAACACCAACAAACCCAGAGACCCCTGTTTAGCTTGGCAGACTGCAGCAACAATGTGCCGTTGGCGAGCGTCGATTGAAACTGGCAGTCCATGATAGGGTCATGTGGCTAGATCTACGCGTGGCCACCATTATCTCCACGGCACTCATGTTCGCACACCGCGGTGCAGCACGTACCCATATAATGGTCGAGTCGACCTATGTGAGACCCAGGATATCTTCATTTACCACTTGCCCCTTGTTATCCATGGTTTGGAATCACACCCAGGTTGTTGGGATCGTAGTCATGGTGGCCCAGGTAACTCAGTACACACAAGGGGGAGGCGGACGATTCTGTCTCCTCGGGTTAAATCTTCACCGAAACTTTTTCCACGTGGCGACAGAGAGAGATGAAGCGGTGAAGCAAGAATACCACGTGTACTACCGAACCTTGACAATTTAATGTACTAGAATTTCGGCGGCCACCTTTTTCTAGCTCCTACGGAGGGCTTCTCGGCGCTCCGCACCTCGCCCATCGCCCCCACTGTCCTCCCCCCCCCCCCCCCATTGTGTGCAGATGCTACTGGGTTGTGCCTCAAAGTTAAATTAGATATTTTTGAATGTTACCCTCCATCCATGACCGCAACCATCAAAACTCTAAATAAATGCTCAATAAATGGAAATGATGTATTTATGGATAATGAATGAAACAATAATTAGATCATTCGGGTTGTGGGATTAGTTAGTCTCCCAAACGCCAGATGTCCACGGAGTATTCAATCCAATAAGCTAAATACTTATTTCAATTAAGAAATATTTAGTTTTTATTTTGCCTTACCTCAAAAGAAAATTGTAATGAAGCCAGGATAGACCACAACATCCTTGGACACCAGATGTATCCAAACCTGTGTAATAAACTTCTCGAGACGGCTTCTGGAATCAGTCCTTTATTTCCCACTTCCACAGTTACACACACTCCCCGTTGCTGGCAGGCAACGGGAAGCGGGCAGACAGCCAGCGAAGTTGCACCACTCACGTGGCATCCAGAGCCCCGTACGCGCGTGGCTCCTGCTCTCTTCGTTTCCAGGTCTGCTCCCGACTCCTCCGTCTCTCCCCCTCTTAACCCCTGGGTCACGTGGTACCCCTAAGCCAATCCTCAGTAGTCGGCATCGAAGGCTCCAGATCACTCCCCGTCAACTCCCGGGAGCACGCCTCTGATCCGGCTTCCCATTAGCTGAGGCCAAGATCGGCCAAGCCAATCACCTTAGCTAACATGCTGTGATCACGCCGAGACCATGCTCCCGGGCTCTCCCCTCATTGGCTACAAAGCGGGACCGGCAAGCCGATCGCCACGTGAGCCATACATGGCTCTCATTACACCTGCAATAAAAATGTTACCTTTAAAATATACATCCAATTGAGGTACCTTAGGGGGGGGGGAGTGAAAACATTTGTTGGGGGGTCCACAATTAGTGTGAACCTGTTGGATAAACTTCTTACAACCACATCTGGTGTGGCGGGGGGGGTCCACTTTCTATTAATTTTTGATTCAGGCCTTCTGAAAGGCTCTAATAATTGAATTGACGGACAAACGGAACGCCGGACTTTTATAATAGATTGATAACCACCCTCTGTGTTCTCGGTAAAGATCAAGGCCAGCAGAGCAAGACACTGCAGCAGAGGGCACGGGGTCACTATCGCACTGGGTAACAAAAGACTGTCGGTCGTGACCAAAGTATCAAGATGAATGATTAATACCGCAATGCATAATTCACAGCTGTGTGTTCAGTGCGCTGTGGAGTGGGGGGCCTGACCCTGCCCGCGTCACGCCACTCACAGGGGGTTGTTTTACCACGAGTCTGCACCGCGACTCCACCTACGATCTCTTATGCCTCGTGCTTTATTAAACGGCTTTGCTGATGTGCATAATGGAGGGTTTTTTTTAGTTAGATTGCGTAAATATAAATGTGTCATTAAACCCGCCACCACCAGACAGCCGATTAGTAAGGCTTGTCAAGTAAACAACACGTGCCATTCGTTACTAGTACTGTACAGCACACCAGTGTGTTGGAGAGTAAACCAACGACGTTTCACCAGTAATTACGAGCATCAGGTGACAGCCAGATTTGTGGTTGTCGCCTGATGATGTTATCCGTAAAAAAACCTCTGTTATGGATAACATTGGTGGCGAAAGCGTACGTGTTATTTTTTGCTGATGTGAGTTACTATTTTTTGTCTCATTGATTTGTGAAACGGGCTTAATTCTATTTTGAAGTGTTACCCCAGGGCTTAACTTCAGGCTGAGCAATTTGGGGGCTGAGCTCCGGATTTTTTTTTCTACTATAGGGTAGGGGGGGATGACCCAATGGGGGATCTGAAATGAACTCTCGTGGTGCCGAACAAATGCCATTTTCGCCACACTTAATGTGGACGACCCACCCGTGTCTGCAGTTGTTAGTATTTGTGTAGTGACATCGGGGATGTCACTGTATGGTGCCGGTCCGAGAGGGTGATGGCACGCAATGCATTGTCATCGCGTACACCCCGTAGGCGGGTGTAGTACCAGCCCTAGCGGGGCTTGGTGTGCGCTGCGATAGCGCAGGCACCACGCATAGCGTGTAATGCGGGCTCTCACAAGGTAGGACCGTGTCAGCCCAGGGGCAGGGTTGCCTCGGGCCATGGCACTCTGGTTGACCCCGTAGACACGTGATCCGGAGTGTCCACAGAGACACACCCAGGGGGGGGGGGGGGCTAGGGGGCGATCACGTGTCCAGGGAGAGCTCTCGAGAGGGATCGGGAGAGAGCTGGAAGGCTCGAGAAGGCGGGCGGAGTCAAGGGCGAAGCAGCCCCGACCCAGGGGGATATAAGGTGGGTCCCTGAGAGGGACCGGGGTCACTGCATTCTACAAGCTGAAGCTCTACGTCCTACAAGCTGGAAGCTCTACAGGCATCATCAACACGTGGTCGGGACCCGAGAGAGGGTCAAAACCTTCGTAGCTGTAACTCCTCCATATAGGGTAGTTAGCTGGGTGGTCACCACCCTAGGCTGTATCTGGTGAAGGAGCAGTTACTCCTTTGTGTTACGTGTTGATGTTACAAATAAATGTGTTGCCTCTAAAGAACGTCTGCGACTCAGTTGGACTCACTACATTTGCATACCAGTTGCCGGGTGTTCCTATCTCAGTGGACACTCACGAGCTCCAAATGAGAATGAATTCCCTAGCCTCGGGACGCTCGCTGGCCGTGGTGAGCTGCAACCCAGAGGCTGCTGGCTCGATTTGATGTCCCAAGCGCGGCAGTTGAAACAACGGCGCAAGCTTCTTGAATCCCAGCGCCGCCGCCCACCCGGCCGCGTGTGCACACCACGGTTTATCGACCGGCAGTTCGAGCGTGTGGTGGGCTGAAGTGTGGGTATTCCCACCTCTTCCAAGACGTCTGGTCAGCGTGGCAGAGTCGACCAAGGCCCCTCTAGAGAGGGGCTCTCCAGAGCTGCCTCCAGTGGCCAGAGCGAGCATCTGTCGGGCTGCACCTCTAACGTCAGCTTGACACCCAAGCAGGTCACGGGGCTGTCGAGAGAAGTTCAATTATGGGACTCTGAAGCATTATTCATTGGCCACTTCGTCTTTCGTACGTCTGATGTAGACGCAGAACAACAACTACAATTTCACATTCAGGTGGCCAAGCCCAGATAACCGCGTCAGTAGCAGCGGAGTATATCACCGCCGTGATGTCTCATTCGTATTTGTGGATCGGGCATTGCGTTGTGATATGTTGTATGGTCTGTTCTGGATGACCACAGTCGCACACTGCTGGAGAGTTTTTAATTTTACATTTGTGCGTCAGGTATCCGCATATGCCATGATTTGTGCGGATACGATTTAGGGTGGACCGTGAGCTTCGCGGTAATGTCACCATGGCACTTGTGCCAGGTTAGGTGCACGTTGAGACTAGCACGTGTAAGTGTGGAAGGCTCTGCTGGCAGGTCACGGGACAGTTCCGAGTGTTTTGAGTTGACTGAGATGACCGGCAGATGCACCGCCAGTGCTCGCCACTGTGACCATTTTCTGCGTAATCTTAGCCACCCAGCGCTCCGCTCGTTGTGAGCGTTACGCTTAGCTTTCCCCTCCGCTGTAGATAACAAACCTAACTCATTCACACGACTAATACCCCATTCACATACTGCCATTGCACGGAACATTTTCCGGGGTCCTCCGTTTCATCTGCGCCAACACGCAACAGCCCAGACTCCCACGTGGACAGGGACCTGCATTTTCCGGAGCTCAGCCCCCGGGGCCGGACAAGGCCGTGTCTGAGCGCTGCCGCTGCGGGTGAGGTTTTCACTGGGGCAGGAGAGAGCGAGAGGACACTGTGTACACAAACGCGCAGCGGCAGGTGTTAGGAGGGGCGTGTGGCACGGCGCCTAGAAACGCGCCGATGTTTGTGTGAGTCCGTGGCCACGCGAACCCCTCGCTCTGCCCCCCCCGCCCCCCCGCGCGTCCCCTCCACCAAACCACGCGGCGGGTTCCTTCCTTGCGCGTTCACCCGGCCGCTGTTTCGCGCATTGCCGGGCGGCCACGTCCCCCACTCCTCTTCTGGTGAGTGCCGCAGCTTGTGAACAAGTGTGGGTGATGCACGCATGCCACCGCGCACCTACGTGTGTCCAGCTACACGATGATACAGCTAGCGTGGGGCCAGCAGTCGCCTACAACATCACTGCAACATCACTGAAACATCACCACAACATCACTGCAACATCACTACTACATAACTACAACATCACTGAAACATCATCACTACATCACACTACTATATCACTACAACATCACTGCGACATCACTGCAACATCACACTACTACATCACTACAACATCACTGCAACATCACTACATCACACTACTACATAACTACAACATCACTGCAACATCACACTACAACATCACTACTACATTACTACTACATAACTACAACATCACTGAAACATCACACTACTACATCACTACAACATCACTGCAACATCACACTACAACATCACACTACTACATCACACTACTACATTACTACAACATCACGATACGTCACTACGATAGCGCGCTGACACAACGCCGCCGCCGTCTCCTCCTCCATCGCTCCCGCTCGCTGTTCTTCCCAAAACGCACAGGCGAATGTCTTATCAGTAGCAGCAGCAGCGTGGTCAATTCAACGCTGGATGAATGCCTCTCTAAGCCGTTGGCTGCGATGTGGTAATCCACCTATGCACCTGCACGCGAGCTCATTTAATGGCTCCATCTCCTTGACAGGACGAGCTCTTTCGCACGCGTCACATTGGTTTGGAATGGAGGAGCGGTGGCGCAGTGGTTGTCGAGCTACGCTTGAGCAACCACGGCTAACATTAGTGGCCGAGTGATGTCCGAACGGGCCCTTGTCAACGTTAACCAAAATTCTCATTCACCAGCGGCGTGGTGACTGGCAAGGTGTGGGAGGGCCTGCATCCTGCAGGGGATTGGAATAGGGGTCTGAGAATCGTGATCTGATCATTTGAGATGCGTTGGTGAACTTCTTCGCTTCCATTCACAGCGTCGGGCGTGAACAACTTTCCGCAATAACTGATAAACACATAATCGCACTGCCTTTGCTTAATGCCATGTTCGCTACTTAGTCGACAGTAACCATAATAACCACGCCTCGCCAATCCACCGCTGGATGAAGTACGGCCTCTCGACGTCGTTTGGCCATACTTCACCGCACTGGTCAGTACCGGTTTGGTCGTGAAACAGGGGGAGGGGGACAACAACCAGGACCTGGTTCAGACACCGCCGTGGCGAGGAATTTGTTTTACAAAACTTAATTCAAGTCGCCGAGTTTCGATATCTTCGTGTGCAAATCACGGTGCCACCGTACATAAACACAGTTGCCAGTTTTACAATGACAGTGTACCTTCGTAAATACCAACAGCCCCCCTCTCCCCCTTGTCTATCCACTGCTGGATGAAGGCCGTAGTGTCAGCCATTCGGAGAGTTTGGTCATACTTCACCACGCTGACCATTGCTGACTGGTACAGCGAGTACTGTGTGTATGACTGGAGTCTGTTTAAACAGCCTGCGTGTATAATCAATAAAGCTGCTTGTTAGCCTTTCGCAATACACCCTCTACAAACACTGTAGACCCACAGCATACAGAAATGGGCAGATAGTAAAGTATGGATTTGTTTGTACACTATACCAGTACGGATTATACGACGCACTGGTCGCCCTGTACATTACAGCAAACTGTCGGTGTGCGTCTTATAATCCGGTGTGTGTGTGTGACCCAGACTTGTGTAACTTTATTGAATCCGTCTTATAATCCGTTGGGTGTATGTTTGTGTGTGTGTGACCTGGTTTGTTTAATTATAAACACCGTGCACGAGTTCAGGGTGCGTCTTACTTCCCAGAGCGTGTGTTATACACCGGAGGAGCCGGTGGGATATTGATAACAGAGTGACATCTCTTTCGGGGTAGCATGGGTAGTGCGCTCCTGCATTTAGCCGCCCTGAGAAAGTGGTGGCCATTCCATTATTTTATGGACGGTGATCAGTGCCTCCATAGGACGGGCACAGCTGTTGATTTACCAGAGTGTGGTACTGCTTGTATTGACTAGAGAGGGATGATGGTGATGATGATGACGAAGGGAGGTGATCCCAGACTGGGAGCAGAGCACTCATCTGCAATGCCACCCTGTCAGAAGGGTGATCTGTTAAACGATTTAAACTGTTTTTTTATTTTACCAGTTAGGCCGATCGAGCTATATATCTCGTTTTCAGAACCGACCTGGACACAAATGATAGCTGAACGAAGTGGCTTACCATGTGGACATTTATAGCAGCCAAATACTGTATTCTAAACGCATGTTTCCAAATCCACACGACCACAGGGAGAGAGAACATGCAAACTCCATATCTACAGGCGTCAGGGTCGGGATCGAACCCACGACCTCCTGTGTACCAGGCGAGGTAGTTAACATCTCCTAGCCACCGTGGCACCCTCAGTACCGACGCACGGAGTTGACTCTCGTTTCGAGCATTGGAGTCGCTGTTACGATCGCTCTGCCAACAACAGCCAGACAGACCGACCATCCGAGACGAGATGAATCCCGGCCTGTGAATATGGGGTTTTCGATTTTTTTTTCGGGCATTTTAATGATCCACAGCAAAAGTGAATGTTTGGTTAAGCATTCACGATTAGCCAACTTCACATAGCTTTTGGTTTTGATAAGTGCAGGCGATGCGGTTGCGATTATCAACTGAACATTGAACTCCCAACTACTGTACTGCGGTCTGTAGTCTAGCATGTACAACCCTCTTGTCAATCTGCTGCCAGATGGGGGCAGTACAGCAACATTAATTGTTGGACTGTGCTTGTATGGTCCCATGCCTATGCTCTGTTCACCAACGTGAGCAGCGTGATCCACGTTTGGTCAAACAACCCCCATGACGTCAAAGCGTGCACAGAGAGGCCTTACTCATCCAGCAGTGGATTAATTGACAAAGGGATGCACGTTACATTACAGGCTAAGGCTTGTGGGGTGCCTGTGGAATGCTGAGTGCGGAGGGGTTGGCATTGGCTTGGGCTGGAATCCTGACATTGCCTCTGTAAACTGGACAGTGGCAGGCGTAGTCTTTGTTAAACCGGCAAGCCCTGCTTGTAAAACTATTGCGGAGGCTTTTATGGTTGTGCTGTGTAGCTCTCCGAGTTGTTGTAGGGTCGTGCCGTGTGTTGTTTGCATGATGTCCGACGTTAAAAACGTACTGCACACACTTCAGCCAATATCGTGTACAGTATTACATGTGATCTGATTTATATATACAGTGAGGGAAAAAAGTATTTGATCCCCTGCTGATTTTGCACGTTTGCCCACTGACAAAAAAATTATCAGTCTATAATTTTAATGGTAGGTTTATTTGAACAGTGAGAGACAGAATAACAACAAAAACATCCAGAAAAACGCATGTCAATTTTTTTTATAAATTGATTTGCATTTTAATGAGGTAATTAAGTATTTGACCCCTCTGCAAAACATGACTTAGTACTTGGTAGCAAACCCCTTGTTGGCAATCACAGAGGTCAGACGTTTCTTGTAGTTGGCCACCAGGTTTGCACACATTTCAGGAGGGATTTTGTCCCACTCCTCTTTGCAGATCTTCTCCAAGTCATTAAGGTTTCGAGGTTGACGTTTGGCAACTCGAACCTTCAGCTCCCTCCACAGATATTCTATGGGATTAAGGGCTGGAGACTGGCTAGGCCACTCCAGGACCTTAATGTGCTTCTTCTTGAGCCACTCCTTTGTTGCCTTGGCCGTGTGTTTTTGGTCATTGTCATGCTGGAATACCCATCCATGACCCATTTTTAATGCCCTGGCTCAGGGAAGGAGGTTCTCACCCAAGATTTGACGGTACATGGCCCCGTCCATCGTCCCTTTGATGCGGTGAAGTTGTCCTCTCCCCTTAGCAGAAAAACACCCCCAAAGCATAATGTTTCCACCTCCATGTTTGACGGTGGGGATGGTGTTCTTGGGGTCATTGGCAGCATTCCTGCTCCTCCAAACACGGCGAGTTGAGTTGATGCCAAAGAGCTCCATTTTGGACTCATCGGACCACAACACTTTCACCCAGTTGTCCTCTGAATCATTCAGGTGTTCATTGTCAAACGTCAGACGGGCATGAATGTGTGCTTTCTTGAGCAGGGGGACCTTGCGGGCGCTGCAGGATTTCAGTCCTTCATAGCGTAGTGTGTTACCAACTGTTGTCTTAGTGATTATGGTCCCAGCTGCCTTGAGATCATTGACAAGATCCCTCCCGTGTAGTTCTGGGCTGGTTCCTTCAACGTTCTCATGATCATTGCAACTCCACGAGGTGAGATCTTGCATGGAGCCCCAGGCCGAGGGAGATTGACAGTTCTTTTGTGTTTCTTCCATTTGCGAATAATCTCACCAACTGTTGTCACCTTCTCACCAAGCTGCTTGGCGATGGTCTTGTAGCCCATTCCAGCCTTGTGTAGGTCCACAATCTTGTCCCTGACATCTTTGGAGAGCTCTTTGGTCTTGGCCATGGTGGAGAGTTTGGAATCTGATTGATTGATTGCTTCTGTGAACAGGTGTATTTTATATAGGTAACAAGCTAAGATTAGGAGCACTCCCTTTAAGAGTGTGCTCCTAATCTCAGCTCGTTACCTGTATAAAAGACACCTGGCAACCAGAAATCTTTCTGATTGAGAGGGGGTCAAATACTTATTTCCCTCATTAAAATGCTAATCAATTTCTAACATTTTTGACATGCGTTTTTCTGGATTTTGTTGTTGTTATTCTCTCTCACTGTTCAAATAAACCTACCATTAAAATTATAGGCTGATCATTTCTTTGTCAGTGGGCAAACGTACAAAATCAGCAGGGGATCAAATACTTTTTTCCCTCACTGTATGCATATTTTTTAAAGCTTGGACATTGAACAATGAGACTTACTCATCTGTATCATCAGCCTTAATCTATCCACTGCTGGATGGGAGCCTCCCCCAAGCTGTCATCATCCTTCACGATCATGCGATGAAATACTCCATCTAACTTTA